TGGTTGCTGGTGGAACGCCAGGATTAGCTTCATAACCTATGCCACCACCACCACCTAGAGGTGGAAATTTCTGGCCTCCTGAACCATAGGGATCTCCCATGTTCATTGCTCCTCCGCCACCCATTCTCATGTCTCTTTCCCTTGGATCCATGTAGCCCATTCGGCTGTAACTTTCCTCTCTTTGGCGCCTCATTTGTTCTTCCATCTCACGTTGACGAATCATCATCTCTTCCTCTCTTCTACGTCGTTCCTCCTCTTGCCTCAACTGCATTTCTTTACGTTTCTGCATTTCTTGATTGTGAAGTTCTTCCATGCGTCTTAATTCTTCCTATCGTCTCATCAGATCTTGGCGCAAAAGATTTGCCTGATGTTCATGATAGGCATCTTCCATTTCACTTTCCAATTTGTCTTTTGCATCCTTCATGTTCTTTTCAACTTGTTCCCTTTGCTGTTTTTCCATTTCATCCAAAGACTTCCATCGCTGAGAATATTCGTACTCAAACGTACCATGCTGGGCAAAACGAGGAGGGGTTTCTCTCTCCTTTTGATACATTGGATTCTTCTGGGCAAGTTTTTCAGGAAGACCATCTTCATCGTCTAGTTGTTCAAGTGGTTCCACGATGACTGGACGAGGAGTTGTTGTCAGTAAGAAAACACCTTCACTGCATCGTTCAAATGCCTTTCTTGCTGCTGGCTTAGAAGCAAATTCAACAATGCCTTTCCCTGTAGATCTTCCACGATCATCCACTATTACAACAGCCCTTTCAATAGGACCAAACTGGCTAAAGGCTTCTTCCAACAGTTCATTGGAAACATAAGGTGAAAGATTACGAACAGAAAGGGCAGCAGCATGTGTGGCAAAGCGAACTCGAAGCTGTCTACCTCTCATGGGTGTATCATCAAGTTCCGCTTTGGCTATTTCAGCCAAAGCTCTAGATTCAAGTTTAATAAATCCGAATCCTTTGCCTTTGTTGATAAATACTTCTCCTGGTTCTCCATATTTAGCAAATAGTCTTTTGAATTCATCCTCCGTGATATCAGCAGGTAGATTCCCAACAAACAACCGACATCGCTGTGTATAAGATTTCTCTCCAGGCCTCCTCAAGAGAGACAAGTTGGCTTTAAACCCCTCCGAGTCCGAGATTTTCTCCTCGCTGCGGCCGCCGGGCCCCCCAGGCGGGGGCCCCTGGTGGTGCTGCTGGTGGTAGGGCGGGTGGTGCTGGCGGCCCCTGCGGGGCTCCCCGCCGCCTCGATGCGGCGGCTTGGGGTGGCTGCCAGGGGTGCTTAGGCCTGGGCCGCCACCTGGCTTCGGCCCGCCAGGCATTTTGCCGCCTTTGGGACCGCCCGGACCTGGGCCCTGCTTAGGCCCTGGACCCGGGCCCGGGCCTGCCGCAGGCGGCGGCGGCGGGCCTCCGGCCTGAGGAGGTGTGGTAGGGACCCCGCTGCTTGGCGGGGTGGGTGGCGGCGCCCCGGGAGGGGCCGAGGTGACTGCTGGCGGCGGGGTCGGCGTCGGGCCTGGCCCGGACCCTGGCGGGGCCCCCGATGTCGGCGGAGTGGCGGGCGGGGCCGAGCTGGAGGCTGGCGGCGCGCTGCCTACTCCGGGAGCGGGGCCGGGTCCCTGAGCAACGACGGGCTTGGAAGAGTCCTGCGGCGGTGGCGGCGGCTGCTGCTGCTGATGCGGCTGTGGATGCGGCGGCGGCTGATGCGGTGGCGGCTGCTGTGGCGGTGGCTGCTGCGGTGGTGGCTGTTGCTGCTGTTGGTGTGGAGGCGGTGGCGGAATCGGAGGCTTAGAGCCGCTCTGGCCCGGGCCAGGACCCATGGGGCCGCGATTCTGATTGAGGCCCATGCCGGGCGGCGGAGAACGGAGGTCGTGGAGGCCGCCGCGGCCGCCGCCGCCTCCGCGCCTGTGGAAGCCGCCACCGCCACCGCCACGACTCCGGAACCGATCCCGAGACATCTCTGTGGTCAAGGGGCGGTTGAGGCAGAAGCGAAGAAGACGCTCAGGAAACGTGGAGGCCACCTTGCTTCTCACAAAATGGCGGATGACACAGGCCGTCAGGTCTTTCAACACAGATCAAAAAAAAAAAAAAGGGAGATTGGGGCCATGTTATGAGGACATTGCATGGCAGCCTACATAATCGGAACTTCATCCTACAGATAAGAGAAGTCACTGGAAAGCTTTGAGAAGGTCACAAACGTGACAAACAGCATTTCCAGGAAGATTACTCTGACCAGTATTAGGCAAGATAAGTTGGGAAATGATCTTCAACTTTGGAAACTTAATAGAAATATCTAAAAGATCTATATTTCTTTTCTTTTCTTCTCATGTTTAATTTTGAAATAATTTCAGACTTTCTAAAATGTTCCAAAGATAGGCAAAGTCCTCACATGCTTTTCATTCAACTTCCCCAAATATTAACATTGTAGATATGCACCAATCAAAATCAATAAATGTGTATTAACAGTGTTAAATGAATGCCTGTGCAGACCTTATCCAAATCCCCTCTATCTTCTGACTAATGTCCTTTTTCTGGACCAGGATCCAATCTAGTGTCACATATTGCTCTTCATTGTACTGTTCTCTCAGTCTCCTTTAATCTGGGAAACTTAGGATTTACCTTTAAGAGCTTCACATTTTTGAAGCGTATTGGTTAATTATTTTGTAGCATGACCCTCAGTTTGGACTTTTCTAATATTTTCTCATGATTAAACTCAGGTTATACACTTTGTACAAGAATACCACAGGGATGATTCTGCACCTCCTCCATCAATTATATTAGAATGCCCTAAGGTGTCGTTATCTCTTATTACTGGGGATGTTAACTTTGATCACTGGGTTAAAGTTCCTCCACTGCAAAATGACCCTTTTCCTTGAAAGCATTTTTAAGCAACCAATCCCTGGGCTACAACACACATCAGACAAATCAGATATGCTTGAGGGATGGCACAGGCATTGGTAGACTTTAAATGACCTACAAGTGACTCTAATCAGTATCCGGAGTTGAAAACCTATGGCTTAGACAGTGAAGATTAGAATCCTGAAAATCAGCTATGAGACCATTCCTAAGGCTTCTCTTTAAAAAAAAATCTAATTTTAAACAAAAGCAAATACATCTGGCTTTGGCACGGACATATGGTAGAGAAATAGAGGAAAAATAAAAATCACCTGATGGGGAAAGAGATGAGTGAGTAGACTGCTATCCAATTTCAAAAAAAAAAAAAAGGCAGAATCAGGTGTGGTGACACTTGTAATTCCAGCATTTTGGGAGTGAAAGTGGGCAGATAACTTGAGCCCAGAAGTTTGAGACCAGCCTGGGGTTTCAGCAGCCTGGGTGAAACCCCATCTCTACAGCAACAAACACAAAAAATTAGCTAGGCATGGTGGCACGTGCCTGTGATTCCAGCTAATCAGGAGGCTGAGACAGGAGGATCTTTTGAGCTCAGAAGCTTGAGGCTGCAGTCAATTATGATCTTGCCACTGCACTTCAGCCTGCCTATGAGAGTGAGACCCTCTCTCTTTAAATTAAAAAAAAAAAAACACACACACACACATTAAAAATAGTGTTGTATGGTCAGACGTAGTACAAAAACTGCATCTTATTCTGTGATGTTTAGATGCTATAATTAAAACAGAACATGGAGGTGTTTCCATAGGAATAGCTGAAAGAGTCTTTACTTTTTATGCAGCTGCATCATATTCTATGGTGTAGATATAAGGTAATCTGTTGAATTATCATCGTGCTGGTGAAAGTCTAGGTTGTTCCCAATATTTTGCTGTTAAACAAATAATACAGTGAATAACCCAGATTAGGTGTCATTTTTTATGACTGGGACTGTGATAAATTTTTCCCAGTACAGTTTGAGAGGCAAAAATATATCTATTTTAAATTTTGACAAGCATTGAGAAATTTTACTCTACAAGGTTTCCACAAATTTTTATGTTCCAAGAAAAGTAGGGGAGGGTAGTATCACCTCCGTTGCTCTCACACAAAGGTCCTGAATGACAGCACCTTTAGGGACACAAGTACACTGCCATACCCTTGGTGCCCACACAGAGCAGGGGCATCTGAATCCTGCGAAACTCCAGGAAAGGTGAGGGGGTCCTCTAGAGGACACCCTGCTAAGGATCAGAAAGGGGCCAAGGAAGTCCAGAGATTACAGCAGGTCTTAAACTAAGGGCATGTTCAAGTGGAGGGCATTAAAGTTCAAAGAGCAAGCTGAGGTGAGAAAGTGGTAGAGACTAAAGGAAGGAGAAGGTAAAAAGCTCCAGGGAAGCTAGGGGAGGCACATCAGGGCTCTCCACTCCTCCTCAGCATTGAACTTTGTAGTGGTCATACTGGTGGGGCTCTGTGAGCTCTAGAATGTTCAGCACTCTCTGGGGACTCTACCCATTCAAGGCCAGCAGGACTCCCTCCCCCAGCTCTGACAACCAGCAATGCCTACAGACTTTGCCAAATGCTTTTCCCAATGAAAAAATTGCCCCTGGCAGAAGCGTTAATCTACACTAATCTATAAATGCAAATCAACACTAAAATCCATCACCTCTTGGTAGAAGAATTACAAGTGTGAGAGGGGTAAAATGGAGGTCTTCAATATCTACTGAAATGACTTTTACTTAATCAGCAATTTGATGTCCCAGAAGGCATGTTTAGAGGTGATGCCACATGGCTGCCTGTACCTCACAGCAGAAAGGGTGTGGGTTTTCCAAGGGTCTGTAACCGTGAACCAGAAAGGTCTGGAACTATGAAAAGGAATGACACCCACTGGGTTACATTAAAAAGTGGGATGTAGGGAATTCTGTAGATATTGGGAGAAAAAAATACACAACATAAATCCAAACCCCATTCTGATTCTCTCACCATCTTAGGGCCATCTTGGCTATCTAAGAATGGTAGCATAGGGATTTTTGTAAATTTTCCAAATTGTATACTGTTGGATCATTTTTAAAATAGGAATAAATCCCAAACTGGACCAAGTAATTAGACACTCTGGAGTCTCACTTTTGGCCAGGAGAGCTGATAACATCCTGCTCCCCCTGGCCTGGACACTGTCTGGCTTAGGGACCTAAATGCTCTTTTTTTATGGAGAAAGGAGATGTTTTGAGCATTCTCACCATTCACTCATTCACCTCTCACACCTGTCGACCTCTCAAACCTCTTCCCCACTCCTGAATTTCATTCTCAATTTACTGAGCTCCATTTCTGTCCCTCATCCATTCCAACAGGTGGTGGGTCCAGGTGGTGGCTTCTGCCATTGATTGTGTAAAAAAAAAAGAAGAAAAAAAAAGATTTTTAAAATTACTTTCCCTGACACCTCCTTAAACTGACCTCTACCTGCAGCACCATGATCATTACCAGCAGCGTTTGGACACTTTATCTGGTAGTCCAATGCTTTCCATCTTTCATTAGGAAATGTGACTCTCTCCACCCTGCATAAAGATTTCCCAGTAGAAATCAACATAGAGATACTGCCTGTGTGTTCCCAAAGGAAATGGTTTCTATCAGAACATGTGAAAGCTGCAATTATAGAAAAGACCACGTAAAACATGCATTATGTAGATGATTCTCACCATTCCTTTAAGAGATACATTGTAAAACATGACATTAATAATTATTCTAGAAGAATAAAGCAAGCATACTGTTTTCCTAAATTAATTTTAATAAGGTGGTTCCTCCCATGTGCCCAGGCTGGGACTCTGAACAAAATTCTCCATCTTCAGTGGCAATGCCTGAGAGGATGACATGGACTTAGGCCTGATATGCAACCATTGCTGTCTATCCTGCCCCTGATGCAGGACAGTACCAGCCCAGGGCCCAAATCTCCTGCTGAAGAACTGAGAGAGAAAATGGAATATCCAAAGCCTCTTACCTTTTTCCAATCCACTGCAATGGGTACCAGTGTAGTCCATTTGCCCCCGAGGACACTCACTTGCTGGTCTTTGGCTTTTAAGAGTCAGACCTCCCTGGCTTCTCTGGGTCCCAGCTGCTTTCACTCTGCTGAGTCCTGCTCTTTCCAATGGGGGTCACTCCCCTGCCAGGCATGTCCTCCAGCTCCAAATGACATGTCAGCCAACCCAGAACCAAGAGAATGAACAAAGATTTCAATATCTAGTGTGTCCAGCAGAGATGTAACCTGTACAAAAAATAAAGAAGTAGAGATGCACACAGCTCCCCTGACAACATTGTGTCCCAAAACAATGTCTTCTGTGCCCCTCATTAAGGAGCTCACTGTCCCTCACCACACAGGCAAGTGTTTCCAGGGTCTCTCAATTCCTCAACGGGAGGCAACACACATTTTAACCCAGTACCTCAGCAAAGGAAGTGGTGATAATTTATCTACTTGTGATAAAGTTCCTGAAAAGATCCCTAGACTGCAAAATTCCCCTCTGAAAGATGACAGAAAGGGCTCTCCAATTTCAAAACATTGGCCTCCTTGCTTTTCAAAAAAGTGCCCTTGAAAGAGCCAAAACAATTTTGCCAAAATTTTGCAGAACTTGAACTTTCTTATTTGAAATCTCACAAGACATTACAACTATTAAAAACAGAAGCTTCTGGCGTAAGAATACAACTAGGGACCAAAGGGATAGAATTGAGAGTCCAGAAATAAATCCTCACCGTTATAGTTCATTGCTCTTGCATAAGGGTTTCAAGATAATTTAATGGAGGAACAATGATCCTCTGAAATAACGGTGCAGAAAGAACTAGATAACCACATGCAAAACAATAAACTTAGAAAACTAAACTTCCAACCATATCAAACAATTATCTAAAAATGGATCAGTGAGCTAATTTTAAGATCCATAACCATAAAAACATCTTAGAAAAAGACATAGGGGTAAAACTTAATGACCTCAAGTGTGCCACGGATTCTCCAGCATGACCCAAATGCATGAGAAAGAAAAAGGAAAAATAGATAAATTCAGCTAAAGATGCAAGCCTTTTGTGCATCAAAGGATATTATCAAGAAAATAAAAAGACCAAACACAGAATGAGACATAACAGTTGCAAATCACATAGACAATGGTTTCATGCCCAGAATATATAAAGAAG